GTCTGGTGCCTTGGTGCCTGATGTCTCAGGCAGCAACAGTAAGGCTGCCGGAGCTTCGTCACGCGGCGGAGCGAGCTGGCTGGACTCACCTCCTGCTCCCATATCAGCTCCCTCTCCAGCTTCGCACTCCCTGCTCTGCCTGGTTTCTGTCATTTTTTGCTTCCTCAGAGGTCCCTGGAGCTCTGAGAACGCCGGAATATTCGAATCTCGACGCCAACCCTTCTTGTGGCCTCCAAGCCTGAGCCTCTGCCGCCATGCCGGGCTTCGACTTCTCCAACTACAACCGCAATGTGGCCCTTCATGCCAAGGGCTACCCACTGCCCAAAGCCACCAGCACAGGTACGACGATTGTGGGGTGCATATACGACAAGGGCGTTGTGGTAAGCTGCCGGGATCCTCTGGCGCCTGGGCTCTATGAACGCGTGCTGACCTGTTGTTATTCAGATCGCGGCAGATACTCGAGCGACGAGCGGGCCGATAGTAGCAGATAAGGTACGAGCTGGAACCCGTATCGACACCTGCGCGATACCTGCGTGACTCGCCGTGATATTGACCGTGCGACTTTCCATCCGTAGAACTGCGAGAAACTGCACTACATAGCACCTCAGATCTGGTGTGCTGGTGCCGGCACAGCCGCCGACACCGAGTTCACGACGGCCCTGATCAGCTCCAATATCGAATTGCACTCGCTGTCGACGGGCCGGCCCCCGCGAGTCGTCACCTGCATGACCATGCTGAAGCAACATCTATTCCGGTATCAAGGCTACATCGGGGCGTATCTGGTCGTCGCCGGAGTCGACCCCACCGGCACGCATCTCTTCACGGTGCACGCGCACGGGTCGACAGACAAGCTGCCGTACGTGACCATGGGCTCAGGCTCGCTGGCAGCCATGTCAGTCTTCGAGTCGAACTGGAAGCCGAACCTGAACCGGGAGGAGGCGATCGCGCTCGCGGCGGAGGCCATCAAGGCGGGTATCTTCAACGACCTGGGGTCCGGCAGCAACGTCGACGTGTGCGTGATCGAGAAGGACAAGCCGACGGAGCTGATGCGCAACTACATCAAGCCCAACGAGCGCGGCCAGAAGGAGCGCGACTACCGCTTCCCCAAGGGCACCACGTCGTGGCTCAAGGAGAAGGTCATCAAGAAGGAGGACATTGGCAAGTACGTCACGGTGCAGGAGCTCTCGAGCGACGAGGATGTCGTCGTCGTCGAGAAGATGGATGTCGATTCGTAGGTAGATCTACCTAGATCATAATCTACCATGTCGTAATAATTTTCTATTTCCAATTGGGAGAGAAAACGCGAGAGAGAGACGGAAATGGAAAATGGAAAATGAAATGAGATTGATGGACGTATTGTACCAGTACTTTACTTTAATAATCAGTGAAATGGGAACGCAACGCAGTCGGTTATGATGATCAATCATATTACCAAGTCTAATAATTGCTCGCTCAGAGTCAC